TAATCACTTTATATTGCAGTATTAACTTTAGATTTCATGATGCTTTCTGTTATTTTCGTTGTACTGAAAAAGATACCTGCAGTACAAAGGAAGAAAACAATTAATATATGCTGTTGGGGGGGGGAATAGACAAAAATACTTTTTTTGGGTTAAAAACATACAATATTGCCCATTGCAACTGATATTTATGTATGTCATCTGAGGACTGGTCCTAAAAATCTGTGTTGCCATATCAGTATAAAACTCTAGTATCTGGAACTGTAGTGCCAATGTAGTAATATGATTTGTATGTTTGTGTTGTGTGTGTGGTGGGGATGGGGAGACAGTAGGAAGTGCGCAAATATGTATGCATGTACATGTTAATACAGGTTGAGTCTAAAATGCTTGAGACTAGAGGTTTTTTGGATTTCAAAGTGTTTTGGATTTTTGAATATTTGCTTATACATAATGAGATATCTTGGAGATAGGACAAGTCTAAATATGAAATTCATTTATGTTTTGCATGCACTTTATACACATAGTCTTAAGGCAGTTTTATACACAGTATTTTTAACAATTCTGTGCATGAAACAAAGTTTGCGTACACTGAACCATCAGAAAGCAAGGATGTCACTATGTCAACCACCCATTTGGACAATTTTGGATTTTGGAATATTTTGGATTTTGGAATTTAGGATAAGGGAAACTCTTGGGATTGCCTCTTTAAAAGACTTTTACACAGTAACATGCCTAAACATGTTTTCATATATACCAGCTACACTGGTTTAAAGCAGAGTTACCCCTAGTACAGCTTATCTTGAATTGCTTTGTGTATGTAGAGTAGTGACATGACATCTACTGAGTATAGGTGCTATGGGTCTCACCACTGTTGGGTAGTGAGGTGTTATGAAATTAACATCAGCTGTTGAATTTCCCACTTGGGAAAAATTGCCAGATCCCCTGCACTGATATTTTTGTACTACCATGGGATGCATTTAACATGGGATATAAAGTAGGCTGATGATGAGATGTCAAGTTAATTGTTGTATTTTCTGATAATTCTTTGTAAACAGCTTTGAAATCTGTGTGATGGAAAAGCTGCATATAAACATAAATAAATATTTACATAATTGGCAGTAATGTCAATAAAATCATTGATGTGGATTTGAGGCAATGTTTGAATATTTTCTCCTTAATAGCTGCAGAGTAAGTGTTTGGTAAACATTATAACTAAGGAGCTTTATCAGAAAGAACATGAGTGTTTGTACTACCCTCATGCCCTACCTTGTGGTTTGGATATCTATGATTTAAGAAATAAAAGTCCAGTTTCTATGTTGGGCAAAACTATTTCTACAGTTTCATGAATCCTGAACAGGGTATTTGTGAGGATCCATGTAATAGGGATGTGAAGCATATTGAAAGTATGTAAGCCATTTAACCTGATTAGCAAATGTTAATGTAAAACACTCTAAAAAACACATTGCATATAGTGAATGTCTTTTCAAGCAGTCACACTATTTCCCATCTCTTGGTATTTAGCCCCTTACATTAACACAGAATGGTGGCAGCGTTGTTTACAAATTGTGGGATAAGGTCAGTGCTTCCTTGACACTGATAAATGTATTTTGAGATGTTGCTGGTTGAGAAAAGAATGAGCAAAAAGCAGTGTCGCCTTGCCAAGGGTGTTTTCTAATATATACATCATATAAAAGTCTGAACCAAAATCTGATTTGGCTCCTTCCCTTCATTTGTTGGCATTGAGGCCTTATCTAGAAAACTGGCTTACAACTATTACAACTGACTTACAACTTCAGATAACTATTAAGTATTCTGCCAGCAAGTAATGTTGTCTAAAATGAACACTACTGATGTCAACAGGAGATTCATATTAAGGTTTCTTGAAGCTATTGTGTTTTGAAACATTGTATTTTACATTCCTTTTACATCTACAGTGGTACCTCTACTTACGAATGCTTCTTCTTACAAATTTTTCAATTTACGAAAGGCGCCTCGGCGAAAAATTTGCTTCGACTTACGAAGCATTTTCGACATACGAAAGGCCGCGGCTCGAAGGAGGCCTCCTTCCAGCCGTGGCCTCAGCTGTTCCTCAGGCTGGT